GAGAGAGAGAGAGAGAGAGAGAGAGAGAGAGGGGAGACACAACACCAAGGCTATGGTGGCAGATTGTAGTGACAATGGGCTAAGCAGCTCTGAGGGGTTAAGAGGTAGGAACGGGGGGTGGAGGGGGTGGGGGACAAGCCTTCAGGGCTTTACCTCCCAACACCTCCCTTGTGGGTTGGTGGGGGGGGGGGAGGGTCTGCATGCTCTTGAAGCGAGGTGGGAGGGGAGGGGAGGGGAGGGGAGGGGAGAGGGGCACCTATCCACCAGCGGCATATGGATTTAGACAGGGAGCAGGAACAGAGTGGAGCACCATATGGGTGAGCCACTCCAGACCCGCCACACAGCCACCGAGCACCAGGTCCCCGCTCTGTCTGTCGCTCTGTCTCCTCATCTCTCTGGCTGCTAACCTGGCCCAGAATAGACGCCAGCCACCAGGTCTTTTTTGCCGTCTGTCTTTCTGCTACCTCTCTCTCAGCCCTGGCCAGGCTCTGCCAAACTCACAGACTAATCCTGGGGACTGGGTGGCTCTCTGCTATGTTCTGGCCTCTCTTGCTGTCTCTCTCTCGCTTCCTCTTTCGTTTGCCTGCCAAGCTCGGCCACTGAGCCCAAGGTCTGTCTCTTCTTTCTGACTAGAGACGTCCGAGTTGAGAGTGATGCTGCTGCTCCACTATCTCTCTGTCTATCTCTCTCTCTCTGTCTGCCTCCCCCAAGAGACTGATCTGGACGACAGGTTGGGTGTCTGCTGCTGCCTACTGTTGCTAAGACCTCGCCGTGGGGAGCAGTCACTGATTCCCCGTGCCCCTCCTTCTCAAAACTTGCTGCCACCCCAGCACAACACAACCATTGCAACAGACAAGCAAGCAACAGCAACAATGAGCTATGACAGAAGGGGGGATGAGGGTATGTGTGTGTGTTTGTGTGCATGTGTGTGTGTGAGTGTCATGTGTATTTGTGCATTTGAGTGTATGATGTATGTGAGTGCCTGCCTGCTTCAAGGACTTTGTGCATTCAATGTGAGAGGGTGGTTAAGCATGTACATTTGTATGTGTTTGTGTGTGGGTGGGTGGCTGAGTTTGACTCGGCTATATGTTTGTGTGTGCATGTTTACACATACGGAGTGTATGGGAGGGGCCGGGAGGCGAGGCAAGGTGGGTGGGAAATGGTTGTTTTTACTTATGAGGATCTGTGATAAAATTGAGAACTCAACAAAGACAGAGGGCTCGGTGGCAGAGGAGGTCTCTGTCTCTGCTGTGGGAGTGAGTGTGTGTGTGTGTGTGTGTGTGTGTGTGTGTGTGTGCGTGTTTGTGTGCGTGACTGTATCTTGGCGTGTGCGGCTGTAAAGCTGTCACACACATCAGAGCTGCCATCGCTGTATGCGTTTGCTACTATTATTAACCACTATGTACGCACACCAATATGTTCCAGAGAGCCCTCCCTGGCGCACTGCATATGGCACACAAACCCAAACAGACACACACATGCGCACATACACAGACACTCGCTTTCCCTACAAATAAAAACATTTGACTTGCCAGATTTGAGAGTTGTCACAGCCCCGCCCACATCAGGTATCTGTGTTTGAGTGACAGTCGAGGGGCTGCAGAGACTCTGATCTTATACAGGACCAATGGGAGGTGATGTGTTTGTATGTGCGTATCATGTGTCACAGGAACAGCAGACATGTTCTATATATATATATATATATATATATGTATATATTCTAAGCACAAATATACATATCAGTACCTGGGGTATAGTGACGCCGTACAGTCTATAGACATTTTTAATCTCCTGTCTTTAGCCATTAAAGACACTAAACAGCTGAGCCCTGTGAGACAGATCCTGAGGCTGTAACTTACAATTATTTTCTTTATCAATTAATATATTGATTGTTTTCTCCATTAATCATTTAGTTTTTTTAATCTACAAACTGTCTAAAAAATGGTGAAAAAATAGCCATCAAAATTCATCACAGCCTGAGGGGGCATCTTAAAATGATTTATTTTGTCTGACCAACATTCAAAAAGCTAAAGACATTCAGTTTACAATTATGTGTAACAGATTTGAGAACTTAGAAGCTGTGAATGCATGGAATATGTCTTTCCTGATGATGGGATACAGCCGTGTTATTTAATCACATACTGTGGGAACGGCTGATGAGCAAACACACCCCAAAACATAACCTGACAATTATAATGTAAGATGTATACAGTATAATAATGTAAGCAGCATTGCAAGCACTTTGGCTGAAACTCTGCACAAAATGTGTTAAAGCGTCAGTTCACCCAAATTACACAAAAAAATAAACATTTTCTCACTAAGTGCTATATCTAGCCATGCAGATGGCTTTGTCTTATGTTTTGGTCATGGGGAGATTGAGATGTCCCTGACTGTATAATTTCTGCCTCCATCCCAACACAAAGGAGTCAAACAGAATTAAATTTAAGTGCAGTATTGAGAAATGACATTTTATTAGCAGCATGTCTTTCTGGAATCTCCATTACTCTGGATAATCCACAGACTTCACTGTCAAAAGTTTTCATTGGGTCTATTTCTCTGGCAGAAAGTGGTTCCATATACAAAGAGACCACAGAGACTAATATCTCAAAACATTAAAAAAAGATACCTCAAAATCTGGGCAAATAAAACCAAAACTATCTGCACGGCTATATACAGTACCACAGAGGTAAGTGAGCAAATGTGTTTTTTTGGTAATTTGAATGAATCAACCCTTTATACTGAGCTCAACAGTGTTACTGTTCCAACACCTCTCTCTGTTCAAACCAAATAAAATAGACCGTGTGTATGTGATATGAAACTCATAGCCTTTCTTTTCCTCAGTTGTCAGTATGTTTTCTGTTTCCCACATAATACCTGTATTACCGGTAACTGTTTTTGCTTCCCTCTATCCATGACTAGGCCCTATACCATGGGGATATCTAAACAGGAATGGCACAATGGGGGTGTTCTTCCACAGTTTCTTAGTACAGTAAGGACCCCACCACCTCCACCACTACCACATGTGCACACAACCGCGCACACACCCATGCACACACACACACACACACATATACACACACGCACGCACACACGCACACATGCATGCACGCACGCACACACACACTCCCCCTGCTTGCCATTTTCCCAAGACAAAAGAAAAAGAGGCACATAATATATTTGCAGCTTTGCGAGGAGGGGTGGGGGGTAGGGGGGGTGAGGGAGAAATCTGCTGCTAGGTTGGGCTTGGCAGACACTGGTGTATGTGTGAGTGTGTGTGTGTGTGTGCTGTTTATCGTGAGTGGAGACAGGGGTATCACTCAGTGAGACAGAATGCTCTGGGTTCCCCCAGCGGACGATCCTGCTATCAGTGCACCACAACACTACAACAGCACACAGCAGCACCGTGCAGCTTTGCACCATACCCCAGCAGAATAGCATGGTACGGCAGGGGAGAGCAACAAACTTTGCAGCACAGGGCGACACTCTTGCTTTTCTACTCTTAAAAAAAAAATAGGCCTAAACTTCACTTTTATTCCTGCTATACCCTGATTCTTTTAGAAGTAATTGTAGCAGGTTAAGCTATATATGGCTGAGGCGTAGAGCAGGCACTGGGGGGATCTGACACGTGACGGATCATACTGTGTGGGCTCAGCTTGACTGTTTCTAACACACACACACATGAACCTCCCCTCTTGGCCACTCACCATCACTAAAAAGGGGGAAAACCAGCTTTTAAGATCATAGCAAGAGGACAGAATGATGTTAACCAGTTAAAAAAAAAAAGTGACCTTTATAAACGGATTAAATACTAAACTCAGCTTCATCCATGGTTTTTCATTTTGGGTGTAAACTTCATGAGCAATATTCATTTTCCCATATGCTTGTAAATGTAGAGGCGAGAGATCGAAGAGTGTGGTGGAGAAAATGTGGATGAAAGGAAGGAAGGAATGAGGATGGAGCTAAATGCTGAAGATATTAAAATATAAGAGAAAATAAAATCAAGAAAAACAGGGGGAGAGAAAAATGAAGTCAGACAGAGAGACTGAAAAGGGTGAATGTCACAAGGAAGGTAGGGAGGCTGGAGAAGATATTCAATGTATGGACAGAACAGCAGAAGGAGGGAGGGAGGGAGAGATGGAGGGAAGGATGGAGGGAGAGAGAGGCAGCCCAGTTCATGCCCCTCTCCCCATGCAGTGAGGACTCCTCCCTGGGGGGACTCAGACTTTAAGCCCCTGCCCTGCTTTATATTCCCCTGGCTACTGCAGCCAGATCAATCTAGGTAGCTACCCAGTGTAACTCAACCTAGTTCAGTGCAGCCTGGCCCCCAGAGCCCTCTATACAGGATGTAGTTTTAGGAGGAATGGAGGCTGGTGTCAGGCAAATTTGTAAATGTACCACTAGTATACAAATATTAGAAGCAGACTTTGAAAGGATTATATTAGTGTTTTTGCA